TTAATCCACACCAAGGATCCCAGCTCTCCTTATTCCACTCGAAGGATCCCAGCTCTCATTAATCCACACCAAGGATCCCAGCTCTCATTAATCCACACCAAAGATCCCAGCTCTCCTTAATCCACACCAAGGATCCCAGCTCTCCTTATTCCACACCAGTGATCCCAGCTCTCCTTAGGGCACACCACGATGAATTTCTGGTGGAAGGATGTCCTGGCTGGGATGGTTTGGTGTTAGGCAGTGAGTGCAGGGCATGCTTGCATAGCAATGGTTCCAGCACGCATCCCATGCAGGCGAGGCAGGGCTCTGGGACTCGTTTGCAAGGGAGAAGTGCAGGATTCGGGAAAGGAAAGGAGAATTTATGCCCTAAAATACCTGCATGCTGTCCAAGGTGTTCTGGGTGAAGTGCAAAGCAATAAATCCCAAACAAGACACAGTAAACAAAGAGATGTGAAATAAACAAAGAAATAAAAATAGTTTTGAATCATTTTTTCACATTTCACAGCGGTCTCTTAGAACAGCTACACGTGTAAAAACATGCATCAACACAAACAACACTACAGAAATCAACACTGCTGCTGATTTGGAACTGCAAAAGGCACGCTAAATAAAATGCTAAAAAATAAATATGCTTGTAGCAATAAAAAGCAAAAGCTTTGGAAATCTCTGCAAATCAGAGGTTGCAGACAAGTCAGCTAAATAAGAATTGTGCTCAGCTTGAGGGGGGTAAATAATCCCTTGCTTGTCTTGTTTCTGTTTTCCTGTATCATATACTTTCCACCAGGCATTAAATAATAACTTCAGCTTGGAGTCTGGAAACTAAAACAAACTTAATATCTATAATGCTAATGAAAGCCTATGAGTAAAGTACATTCTGTGGGAATATTGACTTTTATAGATAATGATAAACAAATGCTTTCATTTTTATCTTTTTAAAGTTGATCAATGCACCAGGAAAAATCCACCTTTCACCGAGTCATGGGCCAGCAAGTGCCCATAGAAATACTGTGGGAAGGTAAAAAGACTGGAAATTACCTTTAGATAAAAACAGATTTCTAAATGAAGTGTTGACAGTGCACTTGCTATTAGCTTTCATATTTTTTCACATTCTTTAGGAGATATACTTTAACAAAACCATTTAATGCCTTTTCCTCAGGCAGAAAAATGAAGTTCTCTCTTTCCAGCACACCCTTTGAAGGTTTTTGAATTCTTTCATTAGATTTACAGTTTCTGCTTCTTTGACATGTTGCTTTATGTTTAGACACTATTAAATTAGACAGTATTTAATTAGGGACCCTAGGTAACTGATGGGTATTTGCTGCTGTATTTCCAGCCTAATAAATCAAAATTCTCATCATTAATCAGTCCCTTTAATAGTATTTTACAAAAAATGGTACGAAAAAGAAACATATACCACTTCCAACAGCTCAGCCTAATGCCCACCTAACTCAAATATAACTCTTAAAGGATGCAATTGTATCAGAGGAGGAAAAACCCCATTTGCCTGCACAAGTGCTCCAAGTGGTGACATGTACATGATCCTGCTCAGAAGGGACCTGAGCCAGCCGAGGGAACCCAGAGGATCTTACCTCTAGCAATTGCACTGCTCCTTCATGTTCCTTCTTCGCTTCAACCTGAGCCTTGTTTTTGTGGAAAGCAAAAAGGAAAGAAGAGGGAAAAGGAGGAAGAAGGGAAATGGATTAGTCATGTCACATCCCATCTGCTCCGAGCACACAGAGCCAGAGCTCCCATCCAGCAGGGTGGCAGTGCCAGCTCTGCCCTGTGTTCCCAGCATGGAATAAATGTTTATTTTGGGAGGCTGGAGCCAGCGGGGCTTCAGAGCAGGGCTGCAGTGCTGGGCTGCAGGAGCACGCTGACCACGCTGCAGCCCCAGCCCCCAGCCCCAAACCCCTCCTGAGATGCAGCTGGAGCTGTGCCCTGCAGGGCTGGAGCTGTGCCCTGCAGGGCTGCACTGCAGGGCTGCACTGCAGGGCTGGAGCTGTGCACGGCACTGCAGGGCTGCACTGCAGGGCTGCACTGCAGGGCTGGAGCTG